ATCACCTTCGCTCTGTGCTCCCTAAAAAAGCCACGTCACTACTTGCCATGCATGTGTTGTGAGTGAGGGACGAGTGAGCGTGAACATACTGGAATTCTAAGTTTCCAAGACAAGGAATACATTCACAGCACGTGCTCTCGCTGAGAAGTCTGAAAATGATGACTACAAACAGCGTTTCGCACGCTACCCTTCACTGATGCTTTGACATCACTGATCACAGTGAGTGACTGGGGCCATTCCAGGCCGATCGACACCGAGCTTCGCGTTCTTACAGTGCGTTACGTGCTCCAAAAGCACGGCTACCCCTTCGGACCGCTTCCTGCATTGCACTTCTGGCCCCTATTTAGATGTCCTTGGAGGAGGTGATGTGAAAAAAGCCTCAGGTGTGTCTTTGTGGGTTAGTGAAACACCGATGGCATTTACCTTAGAGGGGTGGCTTCCCAAGCTCCTTGCAGGCAGTAAGTGCAGCAGAGGCAGCCATCTAGAGTGGACGGGATCTGGATTAGGGATGGGTAAACAGGTTTGGATTAAGAAAGAACTAAACCAAACCTCTACCCAGAAACTGAACCTAATCTAAAGTTTTGCTTCAGATTTGAAAAAGGTTGGTTTTCCCACATTTCGCTTCCCTTTACTCTATTTATATCTGATAAAAACCGTCCTTTGCTTCCCTACCTAGTCCCCAGGTTTATCCACCTCCTGCCAGAGCAAAACTCAGACATGAAAATGACTGGGAACCTGAGAACTACCTCTTCAGGGTGGGCACCTACTTAGTGTGGCTCATGCTAAATAAATGTTTATTTTTGTACATGGACAAATTAACAAATTGTACATGGACAAAAAAGTACCAAAGCAAGAATACACACAGTACTGTTAGTAACGGTATTAATAGAAATATTTGAAGTCACTGCAAAAAATACTGAGCACGAGAGCAACACTGAGATGTCTTCCACTTGTTAATAGCTCAGAAGTTTATTATTATCAAGGATGCCAAGCACACGCAATTACCCGTGAAGCCAGCTGTAACCACACAGACTTGGCACTTCAAACATGCCATGCTTATAGAGAAGAGAAATGTGTAAGGATGGTGCCTGGACCAAACTCGTTAGGAGAAAAGCAAGATGAAAGAGGTGGGGTGTAAATAAATAGATAGATATTGAGAACAATTTATTAAATCAATGCCCAGATGTTCAAAACAGAACACAGTGGGACAGTTGTGCCTAGAAATTGAAGTCTGATGATCAGAAGTGTGTGAATGGGAAGACCAGGAAAAAAGAAAAAAAACTGAACCACACAGGGTTGATTTTGTTGTTCCCACTGAGAGCTCTGTTACACAGAAGTTCAAGACTGGAACTGTGTTCCTCCAAACGTAAGCAAGGATCACTGCTCCCGCCAGTGAAACATGCTCATCGGGGCAGAAACGTAGGCAATTACAGAAATATGAAACACCATTTCCAGAACCTGCCCAGGCATGACCCTGCAGATCGAAGAGCACTGAGGTCATACTCCTATGTCATCCTCCAACCCTGCTGCGCTGTGCTGCGAGAAGAGCAACCCTCAGCAGACGAGAGGTAACACACCTCACACAACCACTGTGGGTTCCACCAGAACATCGTTCTGCACTGTCAGGCTCTGACCCAGGAAATTGTTTCAGCACACAATTTTAAACACACGTGCAGTTTCCATTAATTCTGACAAGAACGAAGGATGTGCTTAAGGGCTCTGCTGGACTGGAGTCCCACTGCATGAGAACATTGTTCTGCACTGTCAGGCTCTGACCCAGGAAATCGTTTCAGCACACACTTAATTTTAAACACACGTGCAGTTTCCATTAATTCTGACAAGAACGAAGGATGTGCTTAAGGGCTCTGCTGGACTGGAGTCCCACTGCATGGCACACAAGAGGGTCAAATATCACACTAAGTTTAAAGATGATCCAGAAATCCGAACCACTTGGGATCAAATTTAATTACAAAGAACTGTACAGTAACGTGACGCTTTCCAGTGATTTTGTAAGAAATGGCTGGAAGGATTTCCTTACTAGTTCAGAGTTTACAATTACCTCAAAAACAAAGTGTGTATATACTCACATTTTTCCAGTGTCTGCTTTTCTGCAGCCGTACACTTCACCAAATCCCCCTCTTCCTATTATTCTATGTACACTAAAATCATTCATGGTCAGCTGTAAACACAAAAAAACAAAGCAAATCAAAACGAAATGTTATTTTTCAGTGCTAAAAAAACTGCTCTAAAAGCATCTAATCTATTAGTGTGTTAAGATAATTACTGTAATTCATATAGCATTTATTGTTCTGGAAAAAGGAGCCCCTTACTGCTGGTGTTTCAACATACTTGCAAGCACTACCGTCTGGAGTACAAACTGTTGATGCCAGACTGAGTCTCATTGACAATGCACAAGAGAAGGGCTGTTTTCACAGACAAAGTTGCTGTAAGAGAGCAGCGCGGAGGGACGG